CAAACAGTCAAACCATATCAAGAAACACACAGTGACATATCACAACACAATGGCACATTTTTAAAGGGGTGGGGGGAGATAATATTTAACAGTAAATATCTCACCTGCCTGCAGAATTAGCAATATGCAAATCTACCCGAATATGCAAATGAACCAGTCTTGCAATTCAGGTAGTGCATATTGCTGTTGCTACCAACAGAGGGCACTAGACAAGCTCCATAGTCAAACCCACCTAGTTGGTAGCAAACCTCAGCAATACAAGAGAGCAGGCAATACATTACACAGTACACACACACACACTATAAACAATTACATTACACACACCCTGCACCTATAATGGGTACAGGGTGACTAAAACACAAGATAAATAAAGCAGCCTACATAAATAGTCTGTCTGAAGGTAGACTAGGGGCTTTAAAGCCAGATACATGAAAGAGTCATAGTCACAGGGGAGGAGGCTGGCAAGTAGGCCTCTCCAGGACCAAGTGGCGAAGGGCACTTCGTCACAATACCCTTCTGAACATGTCATCATGTCAGCCTCTCTGTCATTTTAAGATGGAGCAGCGTCTGTATCCAAGTCTCTCCTCTGTGTCTTAACATTTAAAAGTACACCTATTTATGCCTTAGGTGTCTCCATTTTAGGGTTACCGTAGTTCATATATGAAAAAGTAACTTTTTTACTTTATTCATTTTAGGACCTCCCTTAATTTGGCAAACATACAAGGCCATAACTAAAGGGTGCATACGTCATGGAAATTTTCCTGACTTAGTTCAAGATGGCATCTTAAAGTCTGAATAGCTTATGTGTTGTTTATACTAAGACATAAGTGCACAGTCGTGGGAGATTCACGGATATGGGGAAGTTCCATTAACTTGGGGTTACCACAGTGTTACAGTCGTGACTTAAATATGAATATTAATTTAATAATTAATATATAATAATTAAGCAACAAATAACAACATTAATAGAGTTCGGTATTATGGTCGAATATATAATAGGAAATACACAAAACATTGTAGTATTAAATGTATATTTAATATAATTATAATAACAATTAAACAAATGCTAGCAGAATGTCAATTTACCACAATAATTACACAATACAAAACTATAACATTACTTACAAAAGGCTATAACAGTTGCTAGCTGTTATAATAGATTACTTACACGGCTCCAGCCTGTTTGGCTGGAGCTATACACACAGCTACATGTTCAATCAATGCAAGCAAAGGAAAAAGGAGCTGAAAATCTTCTACTATTTGGTTTTATCCAGTAAGTAGGCTGGCCTGTGATGTCACTGCCAGAAGCACATGAGTTAGCACACTGACCCCTAGTGGTGCCTCTAAAGCATTAAGCTCATTATGCTTTACTGACATCTAGTGGTGCGTCTAAAGCATTAAGCTCATTATGCTTTTTTATGACAAAAAGTCATTAATTAATAAATACCATTACACACAGTATATTGTATACTAAAAGAGTCGTAGTATAGCCTTGAAGCTTGTTTATGCATTATTGTTATTGTAATTCGTCTGGTACAAAATGGCACAAACATATTATGCACTGAGGTTATTGCTTAATGAAACATCTATGAAAAACAATATGTTCCATTTCTAACACCTTGTCAATTTACAATATATCTTAAAGACAAAGTACACAGTTTAAGAAATACAACATTTCATTCTAAAACTTGTAATATTTGCATTTGCCCATAACACTATGCTTTCAGTTTGGATACTCTGGCCTGAAACTTGTAATTCACTTTGAATTTTCACTTTAGTAAATAGCCTGTTATAACTAGAAACTACCCTTTCATTGAGCATCAAATCCGTGTCATCTATTGCCCCATCATTTATTAGCAAGTCTAAACCACACAGAGCCAAGTTTTTTTTTAAACTTAAAGGAACACTCCAAGCACCATAACTACTGCAGCCTCCTTGATAACTAATAGTGCCAGGAATGTCACCCTTCCAGAATAAGTATGTGCCCTCCCAGAATAAGTATAATAACTAGCGTAGTGACCTTTCCTCCTACTAGAAGCCCCTTCAATTGAACTAAACTCAGCCATGACAGGGCTTAGCCCCGTGGAGTTAAATAGAAGCTCTTTGCAGGAGCTTCCAGCAGCAAGGAATTTGGCAGAGGGTGCCGGCCGTCCTGGCACCTCTTCTACTACAGTGGGTATGGTGTTTATGCTGCTTAGAGTGTTCTTTTAAAAAGACAATCTAAGCACCAAAACCACTACTGCTTAATGTAGTGTTCTTGGTCCTTAATGATCTTCCTGCTCTGTGACAGCTGTAAGCATTGCCATTTGTGAGAAACATCACTATTTATAATTCCCAGTCTGTGTGCATCTAATGAAACATAGAAACATAGAATGTGATGGCAGATAAGAACCATTCGGCCCATCTAGTCTGCCAAAATTTTCTAAATATTTCATTAGTCCCTGGTCTTATCTTATATCTAGGATAGCCTTATGCCTATCCCACGTATGCTTAAACTCCCTCACTGTGTTAACCTCTACCGCTTCAGCATGGAAGGCCAATCCATGTGTCTACAACCTGTCACGTACACACCCTACTCCAAGAGTGCGCGTGACGTAGTTGTGGTGGTGAAAGGATTAAAGTTCACTATTTGTCTGCACTAGACCGGAAATAATGACAAAATCCCCCTTTTAAAACCACCCACACTTAAACATAATAATATAACTATTACTATTTTAATGCTGCCACCACCAAGACAATTTATAAATGGGGTGCCTTGGTCCCCCAGGTAAATCAATAATAAAACCCACCAAATATTACTTAGTACAATATTTAAGTTATTGCAAAAATACTAACTAGTCTCTTCAGGTAACGTGATTCTTAACCAGACAAAGGCAGAACTTAATAAATGAATGTTTATTATGAGCAAAAGATAGTCACAGTGCATATAACAATATATGATAAACAAAATATTAACACCAACAACAGATGAAAACAAAAAGGATAAAATACAGAAGTCCTAATTACTCACTTAGGTTTTCAAAGTACAACTTCTGTCCAGGGCGGTCTCTGGCAAGGAAAGACGGTGACTCACTCAAAATTAGATCTTGGCCCCAAGCAAGTACGCAAACACCCTTCAGAATCACAGGAGATATACCCTGTGAATTGCCACGCCTCATCCAGGGGTGGAGCAATAGGGATACTAAGTGACCACCTCCTTTGTTCCAGAAACCAACAAGCCCCATACAAACTTTTGGTTTTATCTCCTCTGCTGTACTTGCCACAGAAATAATAATTGCCTCTATGAATTTGTTATGGTTTTCCCATTCCAAAGACATGTTGCACGCCTCGCCCACGATCCAATAGGATGGACATCACAAGTCCTGCCACACGGTTTAAGTTGTGCAACTCATGTTTGGGCTTAATTAAAAGATTGGGCTTGTCCCATTCCAAATATAATAAAAATGAGGCTTAATTATTAACCTGTGGGTAAGTATGAATGTTTCACTTGGATAAGATACTGGAACACAAGGATCTTCATGAAAAGAATCCCATTAGCATTTCAAATGAATGAACTATCCTTTACAAGGTACATGCCAAATGGATGAAGAGACATTCAGACTTTTCCAAGTGTAGAACCTTACACCTTGCAGATCCTTGATTACTTCACATCCATATAGTAAAATCCTTTTCACATTGCTATGCCATTCACACTACCTCTTCTGTCATCTGACCTCTGTGGGGGTCCCAGCTTCAAACGCTGTAACCCCTGTTGACCTCAGCAATAGCATCTCTGTAATTTGTGCCATTTACTACACAAATTACATTAAAAGATGATATTCCATAGTGTAATAATAAATTATACACCTTTGCCGTGACACAACCTCTCTGTAAAGTAATACTTCCTGTAAAGTAATACTCTGTCAATCAGACAGCCCCAAGAAGCATATCTTCACAGCTGTTGTAATGTCAATGTCGCATGGAGTTAAGTCTTCCCATAGAGTAACATTGTAATGTTCTTGTATGAAGAAAATACGCTTAGTGTGATTGTATAGAGAAAATAGTATTTTATAGTATTTTACATATGAAGCAGATCTCACCATTCCAAAGACTAATACTATTTACTGTCAAACAATAACTGTTATATTAAAAATTCACCTGTTGCCTTCCGATTCCATTACATATTTAGATAGGTAAGACGAATCAAATATACAAAAAAGCGATATGTGTGCACAAACCACAGTGCAATAAGTGCTCAACAGATAAATAGCAGAAAAAGACCTCCCTGAATCAGGTAGGATTTCCCCGAAGACTTCCTCCTGTCTTCAACAGAACATGTATAGAAAAAAAGGGGATGATCTGCTAAACAAATAACAAGAACAGTGCATAGCGCATAACTGTGTGTATGAATAAACCAAATGTGTAGTTTTCAAATGGCCACTCACACTTTCGTTGAAATATAAATGCCTTGGAACTGAATTGCTCTTTTCAGCAAAATTGCTCTTTTCAGCATAAATGCCCTTCCAGGAATGATTCTTCCACCACTTTTAAACTCTCATGGAATAGTTAAAAGGTGTGTGCTCAAAGAAAAAAACAGAACTTGTAGTACATATTTAAAAATGTAGAAAAAATAATTTAATCACTTACATCTAAATATAAAACAATGGATGTATTCTCACTGTCACCACCAGGGGTCCTACGCATTTCGTCCGTATGTAGGACTTCCTCAGGGACTTCAGTGACCAGAAATGACAGCATACAAATGAACAATAAACAACCCTTCCCTTCACCACCCTTTATACCTCCCCCAATGTCCACAAAACTCTTTATCCGAATCAGGTGCTTGAAATTTCAGTTCGACAGCCGATATCTATGACGTCATCCACATGCGTCCGTCGGTTTCGCATGCGTTCCACCATGCGTTCCACTGCCGAAACCCGGAAGTGCTTTATGCCTTCTATGTATGAATCACGTATTTCTATTCCAAGTCCCTCTCATTAGAGGCAGATTTAATTTACATGGATCGGAGGCAAGAAGAAAGGGGGGGGAGAGGGAAAAGGGAGGATTATACACTTCAAACAGTACTACAAGATTCCAAGGATGAGGCTGTGTTAGCTATATATATTTGGAATCTTGTAGTACTGTTTGAAGTGTATAATCCTCCCTTTTCCCTCTCCCCCCCCTTTCTTCTTGCCTCCGATCCATGTAAATTAAATCTGCCTCTAATGAGAGGGACTTGGAATAGAAATACGTGATTCATACATAGAAGGCATAAAGCACTTCCGGGTTTCGGCAGTGGAACGCATGGTGGAACGCATGCGAAACCGACGGACGCATGTGGATGACGTCATAGATATCGGCCGTCGAACTGAAATTTCAAGCACCTGATTCGGATAAAGAGTTTTGTGGACATTGGGGGAGGTATAAAGGGTGGTGAAGGGAAGGGTTGTTTATTGTTCATTTGTATGCTGTCATTTCTGGTCACTGAAGTCCCTGAGGAAGTCCTACATACGGACGAAACGCGTAGGACCCCTGGTGGTGACAGTGAGAATACATCCATTGTTTTATATTTAGATGTAAGTGATTAAATTATTTTTTCTACATTTTTAAATATGTACTACAAGTTCTGTTTTTTTCTTTGAGCACACACCTTTTAACTATTCCATGAGAGTTTAAAAGTGGTGGAAGAATCATTCCTGGAAGGGCATTTATGCTGAAAAGAGCAATTTTGCTGAAAAGAGCAATTCAGTTCCAAGGCATTTATATTTCAACGAAAGTGTGAGTGGCCATTTGAAAACTACACATTTGGTTTATTCATATACACAGTTATGCGCTATGCACTGTTCTTGTTATTTGTTTAGCAGATCATCCCCTTTTTTTCTATACAAGACGAATCAAATGCCTCTTCATGATCATTCACCCACTTCTACACACCTTTGATGAAGACATCACTGAATTCTAAAATTTAGAGCTCTTTGAAGAATTCAAAGATTGGGAACAGATGGATTACACTTGGACCAGCTAAAATGTCAATCACGTGGTCCCTACCAATGAGACCTGGCAAAAGAAACATAAAATATTATTACAATTCATATATCTTTTTAGTTTTCATGTAAGTTCTTTAAAGTAACACTCCAGGCACCATAGCAACTTTATGTCCATGAAATTGTTATGATGCCAGAAAGTCCCATGTATGATCTTAGCATAAAGGAGCGCTCTAGTGTTAGGAATACAAATGTGTATTCCTAACTCTATAGTGATCTAGTCACAGTTTAGGTGACCGCACTTATCGCAAATGTTAAAGGTTAAGTTACTGACCCTTTACTCCATGCCTACAGAGCTGGCCTTATCTCCGTGGCTAACATCATCAATACTTGGTCTCTATGAGAGAATCTGATTGACATAGACGATTTTTACCCAGCTATTTCTTCAAAAATGCCTCTAGTGGCTATCAGAGTGGCAGTCACTTGAGGTATTTAAACCCTGCAATGAAAATATTAGCCTTCCTGCAGAACAGCCATGTTTTTGGTTCCATGGTTAAAACTAGAGGGACTTGGCACTCAGACTACTTCATTAAGATAAAGTGGTCTGGGTGCCTATAGATCCCCTTTAAGGAGTTAAACAGTTCATGAAGTCTTAAAACCCCAAAGTTGCAAAGACGTTGATGAAGCATCGACTGCGCGTTGCTAGTTCCACATTCACAAAATTATGTGAGAAAGGTATGTACTATCAGCCTTCGACTGAATGTTGTGTACCTATAGAAAAAAAACAATATGGTATGTCCAGACTGTCACATAGTATAGAATTAACACAAGCTGTCCTATTTGTTAGCAGTGGAATGGATTATCCAGTGCTGTGTAGAAATTTATGCTCTGTTTTGGGGGGTTATTTTGGAGAAAACTAAGCAAAAAGTGCTTTCCTGTTAATATTGTCACATTATATATTATATATAAAGACTTCCCTCTATACCTCCTATTTGTTTCTATTCTACCCTTTGTCTTTTCTTTTTTTCTAAAAACTCTCTTCAATTAACGTTTACCTATTTAATCTATATTAACTATATTATCTAAGGCAAAGAAAGTGTTTTTTTTACAGTAAGAATAATAAGGATATGAAATGCTCTGCCCGAAGAAGTGGTTTTATCAGAGTCCATACAGATGTTTAAACTGCAATTGGATAAATACTTGCAAAAACATAACATACAGGGATATCATTTATAATTAGTGGGGTAATAGCTGCTTCATCCAAGGACAAATCTGACTGCTATTTTGGAGTCAAGAAGGATTTTTTTCCTAGTTTGTTGCAAAATTGAAAGTGCTTCAACTGGGTTTTTTGCCTTCTTTTGGATCAACAGCAAAAACATGTGAGGAAGGCTGAACGTAATGGACACATGTCTATTTTCAGCTATGTAACTATGTAACTATTTGCAAACACGTTTCCTCTTTTCTTCAATACCACCTGAATTCCATGAGATTATTAACAATTTAAAATCCCAGCTTTTCCTTGTTTTTTTTCCCCTGGATTCTCAGCTACTGCTCCACTAGTTACTTTCTAACTCCTCACTAGTGCTATTTATGAAAAATCTATTAAATATTCAACTGTATTAAATAATATATAAGCATACCTTCCTTAGCTTCCTTTAAAAGCTCTTCACCTGGAAATCTTAAAATCTCATCCAACATCAAAGTATCAGATGTTGCAGATACATATCTTTCCACAACCTTTTCTGAATCAATATCATGCAAGTGATAGTGTTTATAAGTGGAGGAAGTCATACTTGGTATCTGTATGGTCCGGTTAGATGCACCAAAACGGCTGTGAATATAGTTTGAAGTTCTATTTATAAATATCTGATAAGACCCAAGGTAAAATACATCTAGGTCTAGTTAGTTTTTTTTTTTTCTCTCATAATGGAGATTAATACACTATCTGGTTTTATTCAAAACAAGGCTAAAAACAGAAAATAAATGATGTGATTGTATATTTCCCTTCTCCTTTTTATATGCAGTTAGAAAAGATCTGCAAGTTGTTTAAGTTAATTACTGCTTTTTTTATCTCCCTCATCAGTACAGTTAAAAGGACAACAGAAGGGTCAGACGGGACCATACTATGTCAAACTGTACATTATTATTATTATTTTTATTATTGGTATTTATATAGTGCCAACTAATTCCGCAGCACTTTACAATATTATGAAAGGGGGAAATTTACAATAAATGAGACAATTACACAGTGACATATGAACAATAGGTAGATGAGGGCCCTGCTCAAATGAGTTTAGAGTCTAGAGGAGGTGGGGTACAAATACACAACAGGGCAGCAAGGTTGACAGCCACCAAACCAGGTGGAAAAGTAGCAGAGCTGGAGGTGAGAGTATGGCCCTTTTAGGAGAGCGAGAGACAGATTTGGATAAGTATAGATAAGTTACTCTGGGAGTCCATAAGCATGTCTCTACAGATGTGTTTTGAGGGACTTCTTAAATGATTGAAGACTAGAAGAGAGTCTGATGGGGGTATGCAGTCTGTTCCAAAAGATGGGAACTACCCGCGAGAATTCCTGCAAGCTTGAGTTAGCAGTAAGGGTGCGAGCAGCGGACAGGAGAAAATCACCGGCAGAGCGGAGAGACCGAGAAGGAGCACATCTATGAATAAGGGAAGAAATGTAAGAGGGGCTGGAGTTGGCTAGAGCTTTACAGGTAAGGGTTAATATTTTGAATTGACACTTATAGAATACAGGAAGCCAGTGTAAGGAGAGGGGCGAGGTATGGGAGGAGCGACGGGTGAGAAAGATCAGCCTGGCGGCAGCATTCATTGCCAACTGTAGCTGGGCCATTCAGCTGTTGGGGAGACCAACTAGGAGAGAATTGCAGTAGTCCATGCAAGAGATTACCAGAGCATGAACAAGCTCCTTGGCAGCATCTTGCGTGAGAAAGTGACGGATGAGGGCGATATTTCTAAGGTGGAATCTATAGGTTTTAGCAACATACTGGATATGTGGTGAAAAGGTGAGGCCACAATCAAAAATAACACCGATACCATAACCAATACCAATCTTTGTACTATGTACATATAAAATCCCATTATGCGCACAAAGCACCCCAGTTAGATTAATATACATGCCATTCAAACTGGTGTGTTTTATTTAGCAAAATTGCCCTAAAATTATGATCATCATCCCTGGCTTTCCCATTTGGTCAACATAAAGCTATAGCTGTGGTTCAGAGTGCCAATCACAACAGTGGGAACTTTCAGAATGTTGTTCTCTTTGCAGATATAATTATGGAGCATAACACTCAAGACCCATTGACTAGTTTTTTTTTGTGTTTTAATGTTATCACAAGTTTCTTCCAGATATAATGAAATTATATTTCCTCTGTAGTATGTGCATATTTTGTTTGTGCATTTTATAAGCCTGATGTCTACTGCTACTATTCTGGAGTTTTCAGATATTAGTCGCCAAGTTTAGGACACATTCATTTTGTAAAATAATGTATTTTTTTCTGTATAGTTTTATTATTATTCAATGTAGATGATATACAGCAGTGTTGTGCAATATATATATATATATATATATACATGTTCTACTTCTTACTTACCCGCACTCCGGGATTCTTTTAAATATTTAAAGCACTTGGGCGTGCTGGTAATTGGGTTTCATGAAGGATAAGTCTGTTGATTGCTAATTGTATTTCCTATATAGGCCTGCAATTTAATTGGAAGCTGTTGATTGTCCTGAGGATCTAACACACTGATTTATGTTGCTGATCATGGCAATTTGTAAATGAAAGTTCTTTAAATATCTTGAAGAGTCCCAGAGTGCAGGTAACTAAGAAGGAGAATGTATGTTTATGTAAAGCTGTTTCTGAGCCCTGCACAAGTACATTTACAGTTATTACAAGGTTGGAGTGCAGGACTGTGTAGAATTATTTATATATATATATATATAGTACACAAAACAAAGCAGGCTGCACTCACGGACTTCTGAATATCAAATGTGGTTTATTCCATCCAAGAAACAAAAACGATCAACGTTTCGGTCCACGCAGGGACCTTCATCAGGATCAAACAGTACAAATGCAATCTATATCTACCTCAAATATATACCTAATAACATTAATCATAAGTGACTTACCCCAGGTGATGAAAAAACTTCACCGGCGTTTACTACTAAACACCGCGCATGTGCGTCCTA